GTGGCCTACATTAGGATTTGCCTTGGCCTTGTTCGTGTATGCTGCACTTGCGACCAAGCTAAGATACATTCGCTTTGCCCTCTTTAGAGTAGATGTATTCATCTGCATTAACTGCCTTCTTACACCTCTAGGAAGTCTTCTGATTCTACAGCTACAATATTGTAGCAAGTGTGGGACTAAAAGTTTAAATGATTATGAAAACTTAGTTTTAAAAAATTTTTACTGTAATTTCAATGCTTTTTTGGCTCTAATGATCAAAAATGAAAAGCAATTGCTACAGCTTTGTGAGTGGAAATGCCAATTTGCTAAAATTGTGGATAATAATAAATTTTGACATGCTGCCATATGCACGATTTATAAACAGGACAGGCTGAAACTTATGGAATTAATTTTTAGAAATTAACTTTAAATTTACACCCTAATTATATGGTAATATATGAATATTTCATTTTGTGCAGACTCTCTTTGTGTGCAACTTTTAAAACGTGTGTAAAGGGATTTCAGAGGCGCAGTTTGTGGATTTGCCTTTCGTCGTTTCTTCTGTTTGGTCTCAGCTATGTTTATACGCGGACCGTTGCGACGATTTGTTGTTGTCTTTACCGTTTTCTTCGTCGTCGTGCTCCTCATCTACTTTTATGCTACACGGGGTTTTATAGACATGGAAATCCTGCAAGAAAAGGTTCAGCAGTTTAATGATGATATTGCTGAAAAGCTAAAATGGAGTGGGGGCGCTTTTGGATTTATGTAAATTTCTAAGATGCTTTCTTTTGCACATAACTTACTTTATATCCTATATACGAATTTCATTTGCTTATTACGTGCAACTCACCTGACTTTGCGTTTCAGGAAACAAAAGGAGTTGAAGTGTGAACCTCAAGTTGTTGCTTCATTTGCCGACATAGAGGTGCCTAATATTTAGGTTTTGAATAACCTGTTTATGAATCAAAGTGGGTTTTACGCTCATTTTTACAAATATTTTAGCCCGGCACTCTTTATGATAGCATTCCCTTTAAAAATGAAGACGGTGGCGTTTGGAAACAGGGTTTCAACATATCATACTCTCTATCGGATTGGGATAAGCAGAAGCTTGAGGTTATTGTGCTTCCTCATTCTCATCAGGACACCGGTAGTTTTTGGACAATGACTTTTTCTGTTTTCTCCGGCATTTTGTGGTTGAAGTCTTTATTTTGAAACCACAAATTCGTTCAACATATTTATATTTTTGTGCTTCTTTGTTGCGGTTTTAAACCCCTTCATGATTTATTCTGCTGATCACCGGGTTTGGTAGATCAAATGGCTTACACAAATATCTCTTATTTTAATGGATGATTATAATTGGAAAACGCGATCTCGGTATAACTTCTGAAGCTCGAGCTTATGCCTGATACTTTTGAAATCCAGAATACCTTTTATAGTCCGTATACTTTGCCTTTCGCTTACTTTGCATTTTGGAGAATAATTGTATGGATTGGTAAATCTGGGAGCAAACGGGATACTGTAAGCACTGAGGCGATTTTGGCTCTCATTTACACATCGAAGGTCATACGGATAATTCCTCTGCTGCGTGTTAACCTGGCTTCGGACTTCATCTCTGTGACTTCATTGCTAACCCTTCTACGTTGCTTAAAGTTTATTTAAACGAGTTAAAATAGGCAATAGGATGGGAATGGATTGTAGATGATGGATTTTTCTGGGTTTGAGAGGTGTCTTTTTTCCACCATAAAATACAGACTTGAAGTGGGAAATGCTAGATAAATTCGTAGACTTACGTCCTGGTTTTCTCAGCTGCCTAGTCAAGTAGGCCTCAACTTTTATGTAGCTTTTAGCGAACATTACGGGATTGTTCAATTTTGGTCTGGAAATCTGCCCAAATTTATAATTGGCATAGTCAGCAAAAAGTTCCAGTTTTCTGCTATTTCTTTCCATGGAGCTGCTCGGACTTAGTTATTCACAACAGATGTTTTT